TTTATCATGCAATGATATCATGGACTCGACTCATAAATGCATGCATGTGGCGCTAGTCATGTGTCTCATAATCACATATCACATGGAATGCTGCCGAAGCAACATACTTAGAGTAGTCTAGGAGTACATGTCGACTCAACCACACAATCTCAACTAGAAGGATGTACTGCTAGGATGTACTGCTAAGGTCTCGTCGGGATAGCGAAGCCACACAAGATACGTCCTATGCACACAAATAGGCATAACTGGGCCTTCTAAACCGCGCTATCCCCTAGGACATCTCCAAGATGTTTCACACGTAGAGGGTCTTCCCTAACGGTGTACTCCATATCGTACCCCGTCACATAAATGCATATGATGCATGTCACACATTCACAAACTCATGGACTCAACATTTCACTTGTCATATCAGGTCTCATGTCACTTGTTCACATTTCCCATTTCTTATACTCATAGTCACAACGTCACATATAAGAGATTCCCATCCTCATCATCCTCATAGGAAACACATCACTTGCATTAACATAATAATAAGGCAGTTCTCACACCATTAGCACCTTCAAACATGGCTTAAAACTTATTTGTTTTTCACTCCCCCTTACCTTGTTGAGTAGAATAAGATGAACGATCAACTCCGGGGTGGTTTTCTCCTCCTTCAGGTTCTCCAAGCTCTGAAGTGCGTACGTGAAAAGTGAAAACCTAAAATCTGAGATATTTTCTCTCTTTTAAAAACTTAACCTCCCTTTGACCCTTTAGTAAAAATACTTTAACCATGATTATCTTTTTCTTTCCCTCAAATATTAAAACTTATAATTAAATAATATATCTAATAAACATATTTCTTCCAATCCAAATAATTATAATAAAATACAATATTTAATAATTAACAAATACATAATATATAAAATATATCTATTTCTTCCAACACAATTATAATTAAAAATATATAAATAATTACAATAGAACACATAATTTTCTCCAAATACTTATCATAACAAAATATCATAAGAATACATAGTTCTCTAATAAATATTATACAAAATAATTTTCATAAATATTTATTATTTAATTAAAATACTCATAATTATTAAAAATCTCTAAAATATTCTATAAAACTCATTTAATTAATTAAAATAATTATAAGAAAATAATCCCAATAAATATAAAAATAAATAATAATTAAACAATTATATTAGTAGAAAATTTGGGATGTTACAACAAGGTAGTAGACAAAATCCCCACCACATACGTATAGTTACTGCCCCAACTCCTAGAGGCTTCAATGTTAGTCCGACTTCCTCCAAGGAAGAAGATGGACCCTCCTTACCCACCGTGGTACAAACCTGAGGAAAGGTGTGACTATCACTCCGACTCTCTGGGACACTTCGCGGAGCAATGCAAGGCCCTACAATTTTGTGTGCAAGGACTTATAGACACTGGGTGGTTGAAATTTGATACCAACACACCTAACATCAACAAGTATTCGCTGCACAAGCATGACGAGGAGTGACCTTGGAGTAGGAAGTTGAAAGGTTACTAGAGTAGGGGTTCCAGTAGGACTTGTTTTCTTTCTACCCACGACTTCTGCCGAAAGTCGTGGGTTCCCACAATAAAGGAGCTTGTAAAGTTTTCTTTAATCAACAATAAGCACGTCATTCTTGCAAAAATCCTCTGTTCTTATTCTTTTCTCGCTCTTCTCATATATTAAAACTTTAAAATCCAAAAATGAAACCTAAAAAGCAAACATGACTGACGAGAATGAAATTAAGAAAAATCTGAATGTCCACAATGCATCACTCGAACTCGAGATGGATCTCTCCTCAGATATGTAAGAATTACTAGACCAGAAGGTCGAATAATCCAACCTCATCAAGAGGAAAACCAAAAATTAGCTGAGGGCAAGAGGAGAATAAGAAAGAAGTCCTCATCAAAATGGCAAAAAATAAAAATAAAAATAAATAAATAAATAAATATATATATATATATATATATATGTAAAATCAATCCCGTTAGGATACGTCCTAAGAAAAATCAAGGATAATACAAAAGGCAAGCGGTGAATACCCAGATTCAAAATCAAAAGGCAATTTGGATGCCCTATCAAAGAACCTAAGCCCTCTGATGAATCCATCTAGAGCAAAATATTCGATACGAGATGTCGCCACCCGCCGAAACGGACCTTGGCATTTGCGACGACAACTCTGGATCTGGACAAAGACTCACCAGACGTAGATAACACAATGTACCAAGGAATGGTAGGCTCACTCTTGTACCTAACGACATCCAGACCTGACATTATGTTCAGCGTCTGCGTCTGTGCCAGATTTCAAATGAAACCTAAGGAGGTACATTTACAAGCTGTTAAATGCATTTTGAGATATCTTAAAGGAACAACTAACCTAGAAATCAACTTCTATAGAAGCCATAATTTTTCTCTATTAGGATATTGTGATGCAGATTACGCAAGAGACAAATGGGAGAGAAAAAGCACTAGTGGAGGATGTCATTTTCTTGGTCGCTGCTTAGTTTCATGGACTAGCAAAAGGAAAGCACAATTTCCTTATCAACTTGCAAAGCTGAGTATGTCACCGCAGGACAGTGTCTTAAGCAGCTGCTTTGGATCAAACATCAGCTGGAAGACTACAACATTTATGAAAGTAGTATTCCTGTACTTTGTGATAACACTACTGCAATTAGTATTTCAAAAAATCTTGTTTTGCATTCTAGGACTAAACATATTGAGATCAAACATCATTTCATTAGAGATCATGTGCAAAAAGGAACCTTCGGTCTAGTGTATATTAAAACTGAGGAACAATGAGCTGACATCTTTACCAAACCTCTTCAAGAAGATAGATATATCTGGCTAAGAAATAGGCTAGGAATGGAACTGATAAGTGAGTAACAAACCCCTATTTAATGATTACAAAGGGAGAGAAATTAAAAAGAATCTATCAAATCTACATCAGAGTGAAGTAGGAATAATCAAGTGAGGGGGAGAGCACATATTAAGGGGGAAAGCCCTAGTACCCTAAAATACCTAGTAATTTATAAGATGTATGAAATGTATAAATCTACTTGATTGGAATAAATTTGTATATATGCTATTGATCTAAAATGAATTAATAGATTATATTTGTCATCATCAAAAATAGGAAGATTGTTAACTCAGATGAAACAATTCTCAGTGGAATTTTGAATATAACAAATATAATTCATATTTTTATTACTAACCTGTATAGTAGTGTTTCAGATATATATAAGAACAGGCAAAACTAAAGGATGAAGCAAGGTCAAGCAAAACAAAGATCAGAAAAATCAAGTCAAATAACATAAGGATCATGACTTGCACACTAGACGATAATAAATATCAACGAAGATATGCCAAGAACAATCCAAAGCGCAATATAAGAAATCAGAAACAAGAGCAAAATAAGACCAAGACAAAGTTGGCTTAACAACAAATAAACATCAGACGAAGCTCAATGGTCAACCACATAACACAAGATGAAGAAACATTCTAGACAGAATGAAAAGTCGTACACCTTCAAGACTGATCAGACGAGATGACAAAGTCAAAGTCTAGCTCTTAGACGTAGACTCAGATTTCCAGACGCAGACGAAACATGGTGAAAAAGCGTCTGAAGTCCACTATTAAAACGAAGAAGATCTTATATCATCTCCATTTATAAGAAAAGCACACGGAGTTAGCAAAGATATGAAGAGAAAGAAGAAAAATTCAAGAGCGCGAATTCACAAGTCAAAGTTGTGTATGTCAGGACAAATATACCTACTTTTCAGAGAAAGACAACACCTCCGCAGCTACAATGACGGAAAAAGGACAAACATACCTAGGTTATGATTGAAGTTAGAAATAAAAGGGAATAAATTATGCAAAGGACTTCACGCGCGTAACACAGATTTAGCAAGCAAAACATTTAACGCAAAATCAAATGCATTAAATGAAAAAGATCTGTGTAGTCATGAACGAACGTTTATCTGCACCAACGGAAAGCTCTGCCTCAACAGACACATTCAAATTCAAAGAATAGACAGATTTATCACAAGGCTATAAATAACAAGATTTGAGAAGAAAAGAAAAAAGAGAGAAGCAACAAGCGATAAGCAAAAACAAGCGTCAAATCAATCTCTCTTCTTGTTCAAAGTTGAATATCCGTGCAAAACTAAGATATTTTATCTAATCTTAATTTTAATAAACGAATAATTAGTTATTTAATTTATACTAATCTATACTAATATATAAGGTAGATATTCATTCTAATAATCACCTTAGTCTGCATATTTTATTGATCATTATACCTTTTTATTTTAAAAAATTAGGAAAATAATATTTTTTTTTATCAAATTCAAGACCTTAAAATTAATGAACTAATCATAACACCAGATCACTATATATTTATTACTTAATTTTTATTTTTATTTTATATTTAATAGAGATACAATGTGTCTTCATCCCACTAATCTTTATAATAAGAATTATCTAATCTAACTTAAAAAAGTTTTTTAACAAAATTTTATAAAAGTTAATCACCTATACAATACTAGTGTAAAATTTTTTTACACTAACAGTATATGAATGATTAACTCATTTTATAATAGTTACATATTTATTTACAATAAAAGTTTGCTGTTGAAGTTATAACAACATACACATTTATGATCATAGTTTAAAATTTTTATCCACAAATTAAGAATAAATATAAATATATCATATTTTATATAATTTTACTTAAAGAATCCGCTCTCTCAAAATATACGTTATTTTTAATTGTTGTGATTAAATAACATAAGAAATAGTTAATTAAAAAAATAATTAATATCTATTTTGAAATATATTTTAAATATTAAAACTGTTGTAATAAATAAGAAAAACTCGAAAATCTTCTAATTTCCATAATTCCATGTCTGTTTTATTTCGTTAGGATTAATAAAATCCTCTTAATCCCAAAATGGCAACTCTTAATTAATTAACATTCAATGCATACCAAAATAAAGCATTTCCTTCGAGGCCACATCACCACAACTCTCTCATTCTTTGTTACGAACTACGAAGCGTCTCAAACTTGCACTACATAAAATATGTTTAATTGGTAAAATTTCTCGTTCAGATTCTTACAAATTGTGGGTCTCTTTGTATTATTCTCAAAGTTTCTTCTTTGATCTCTTTTTTGTTTTGGGTATTTTGTGCTAACCATGTTCCAAAACAGCATCTTCGACAACGGCTCTCACGACCCTTCTTCACCATAAGGTCAGGCTTTTGTTTTTTGCTGTTGAATAGTTTGATTAGTGATGGTAAGAGTTGAGATGGATGATATTTAAAGGTTAGAGGAAAAGGTGAGACATTTTCAGTTTGTGAAGGTTGATTTTGTGTTGTTTGTCTTGAGGGGTGTGTAATGGAAGAAGGGTTGCGGCAAAACTCAGTTCCTCCTAGTTCAGGTTTTGTTGATAAAACTAAGGTTGTAGAGGCAAAACCCCTGCGTAGTTTAGCACCTGTGTTGCCAAAATCTCTTCAATCTTCTCTCTCTGGCCGGTACCCTTGTGTGTTTCCTCCGTTTGTTGTGGTTGAGGAAGCTCAAGAGTCTCAACCATCATCACCTGCTCCCATTCCAGCTCCAATAAAGTCCTATAGGAACCCATTAGTAGAAGAAGAAGAAGAAGAAGAAACCCCACATGGAGCCAATGGAGATACTTCTTCACCGATGGAGGTTCTTGATGGTTATAGCCAAAAGCGTGTGCCTATGAACAGCTGCAAATCATCCCAAAAGAGGGGTAGGAAAACTCAGGAGTCACAGTTTGATTCGAGTTCCTTGGTTGGTGGTGGTATTGGTGTGGCCCAAAGGGATGATGGTGACCGTGAAACGGTTAATCTAGTGCTCATGACTTATGATTCTCTTCGAAGAAGGCTGTGTCAACTTGAAGATGCTAAGGAGTTGAACACAACCATGGCAATCAAGCGGGCGGATTTGAGAGCAAGCAATGCCTTGTCGGCTAAGGCGTTTCGAACAAACATGAGGAAGAGAGTAGGAGCAGTGCCTGGGGTTGAGATTGGGGACATTTTCTTTTTACGGATGGAAATGGTTCTTGTGGGTTTACATATCCAGTCAATGGGAGGAATTGACTACATGACCACCAAGGATGAAACAGTGGCTTTAAGCATTGTTTCTTCCGGAGTATATGATGATGAAACGGAGGATAATGATGTTTTAGTTTATAGTGGTCAGGGTGAGAACTTCAACAAGAAAGATAAGCATGTGATTGATCAGAAGCTTCAAAGGGGTAATCTTGCTTTAGATAGAAGTTCACGCCAACAGAATGAAGTTAGAGTCATCCGGGGCCTAAGAGATGCTGTGAACAGAAGTGCAAAAATCTATGTCTATGATGGTCTGTATAAAATCCAAGATTCTTGGATAGAAAGAGGGAAATCCGGTGGTGGTGTATTTAAGTATAAGTTTGTTAGATTGCCTGGACAACCTAGTGCTATTGCTGTTTGGAAATCGGTTCAGAAGTGGAAGATGGACTCGTCTTCAAGGACTGGCCTTATTCTTGCAGACCTCTCCAGAGGAGATGAGAGTGTTCCTGTGTCACTTGTCAATGAAGTTGATAACGAGAACTGCCCCGTTTTCAATTATTTCAATTCTCTCAAACATCAGAAACCATTCAGTTTAGGGCAATCTTCATATGGCTGCAACTGTTACAAATCATGTGTCCCTGGTGATTTGAGCTGCTCTTGCATTCAAAGAAATGAAGGCGACTTTCCATACACTGCAAATGCTGTTCTAGTGAGTAGGACACAATTGGTTCATGAGTGTGGCCCAATGTGTAAGTGTTTCCCTAACTGCAAGAATCGAGTATCCCAGACTGGTTTGAAGCACCAAATGGAAGTGTTCAAAACAAAAGATAGAGGGTGGGGACTTCGATCACTGGATCCTATTCGAGCTGGTACTTTTATTTGTGAGTATGCTGGAGAAGTTATTGACAGGGCCAAGGTAAATCCATATGGGGGATACAATGATGACTATATTTTTGATACAAGCCGTATTTATGATCCATTCAAATGGAACTATGAGCCTAGTTTATTGGAAGAAATAAGCTCAAATGTCTCTAGTGAGGATTATGCTATCCCGTATCCTCTAATTATCAGTTCCAAGAATTTTGGAAATGTGGCAAGATTTATGAATCATAGTTGCTCCCCAAATGTTTTCTGGCAGCCAGTCTTGTATGCGGAAAACAATCAATCCTTTCTTCACATTGCATTTTTTGCCTTAAGACACATTCCTCCAATGGCAGAGTTAACATATGATTATGGATGTTCTGGTCATGCTGAGGGTGGCAACGCACCCAAAGGGAGAAAGAAATGCCTGTGTGGATCATCAAAATGCCGTGGTTCTTTTGGTTGATGTTTTGTTGCAGTTTGCTCATGGACAAGCATGGTGCTGGCAAATGTACTGATGGCTAAATGAGGTTTGTGAGTCTATTGCATGTTTCCAAATGCGTTGCTTTTTTCAGATAAAGGCTCTGTAATAAAAGCATTTTTTTAATAATGTTTTCTATTTTTTAAATTGCTCTGTACATTATGAGTTATGTTTTATTTTATCAAATTTTATAATAAATAAGACATAAGTTTTAACTTATATATACCATCAATGTAAAATACTTTTGTGTTGACATCTAATAAGAATTTATCTTATTGCTATATCATATTAATGAATAGGATGACATGGTAAAAAGGTCAAATCTTATTGGATTTCTATGTAAAAATGTTTACATTGACATGTATAAAATCTAGACTCTAAGAAATATTATGGCTTCTCACAGTAAAGACATGTGATCTAGATCAAATCTGCTGCATTCTTCAACATTTTTTGGACACACCGGAAACTCTAGAAATGTTTACTCTAGTTGTCCATGCAAATTCCATTTTGGATTGCTAACTGCTGAATGCTATTTGACAGAAACATTGAGCTTTGTTTGGGAAATAGAAGTAGAGGAAACAAAAAATAGATATGGTTGAGAATGAATGTGTATTATTTGCCTTTTAATTTTAATGTCTCCTATTTTTCTTATACTGGTGCTGACACTTGTTTCCCATGTTTGGCTTATCAACAAAATTGAAATTTTCATATTCCAAATATTTCTTAGATGTTCTGCACATTGACCTATTTTTGTCATTCCATTTACAAAATAAAGTTATATTTTCATTTCAAATCTTGTTTGTAATTCCCTTCTCTTTTTCTTGTTTTGGGTTTGGGGGTTGCTTTGACAAGAATCCAGCAAACCATGGCTCTTTAGAAGCTTGATAACACTTGTGTGATGCACCCGTTTGAATGGGGTTACTTTTGTCTCATAAGTGTATATTTTAAACTCTTGCAGGTTTGGATAATTTGATACTAATATCTTATCAAATAGTATACTTTTTTCTTATTTTAATTTTACCAAGTCTTTGCATTAAAATAAATTAGTTTTAAGCTTAGATTATATAAGCTGCCATTAAGCTATTCCAAACTTGCATGTATGCTTTTTTGAATGTATTGTACCCATACTCAAGGTTGTCAATCTCGAGAGTTTACGTAATCTCGTGGAGGCTCCGTAAACACGTATCGTAAACTCGTAAGAGATTACTTAATAATAAATAAATAATTAATTAATTAAAAATAACATAATAATTGAATATTTTAACTCTATATTAAATAGTAAAATAGCAAATTACATTAATAATAAATGTTCTTAACACAAATTCTTAACAAAAGTTCCCACAAATGAAAAAACACAAGTTCTTAAAATAGACAAATAAAAAAATATTAAAATTTAAATACCCTAACCAGGTTCGCACAAAAGTGAGTCGCGCACGGAGAAGAAGAACAGCGGAGGCGGAGACGCGGAGGAGAAAGAGACGCGCGGAGGAGAGGCGTGCAGAGGAAGCAAGGCGCACAGAGGAGGCGAGGCACGCACGGAGGAGACGAGGAAACGCGGAGGAGGAGCCGCGGAGGAGAGGAGGCGCACGGAGGAGGAGCCGCGGAGGAAGAGACGACTAGGAGAGGAAACGAAGAGGAGAGGAGACGAGGCTAAATAAGTGCCCTAACACAATAAACACAAAACATGCATTTTGTGTAAGTGAAAAAAAAAAAAGGTGATCTCTTAATATCGGAAGTGATCTCGCGAGATTACCGAGATTACTCCGAGATTACTCAAAAACGAGTTTACCTCCGAGTTGTACAGGTAAGCTGTCCTAAACTTACGAGTTTACGAGTTATCACTAGAGATTGACAACCATGCCCGTACTTATTTCAACATCCATCCAAATTCATGATATTAAGATGCAAAAAAGAAAATAATGTAATCAAGAATCTGATTAGGCTACTTTATTGTTCTATTCAACTAGGCATCTAAATATATAATTCCTTGAATTCCCCGTAGATACCATTTGTGTTCCTGACTACGATATATCTCATATACTGAATATCCTATAAGTTTAAGTTGTAAGGTGAAAACTCATGAATGTACAAACCCACCTACTTTGTGCTGACTTTCAACTTTATTAGAAGAATGGAGGTGACAAGGATCAAACTTTAAACCTTTTGGTCATAGAGGCTTTAATATAATGTCATGGACCAACTATGCCAATATCTTGAATTGTTATATGAAGACACATGAATGATTTTATATTGCATCTCTAACAGTATTATATATGTTTTTGCCTGTAAGCTTTTGAACTAAACGTTGTAACCTGTTGAAAATAGAAAAAAATTGTTCTTGTGCTATAGTGTAACTTTTCTTATGGTGCATTTTGTTGGCTTATTTCCAATCATTACAAAGTTGGTCCCATGCTTGGTTGAAAAGGGAGGGTTATGTTAGGTAGTTATTTACCAGTATAAAACTTTGTCAAATGTTTATGATGTGGGCCGATAATTATAATGTTAATGCTATATTGTACTCACAAATAACACATTTTATGGCTATAGTATAGTGTAGAAACAAGGTCTGATGCTTTAGTGCTTGAATGTAGTGAAAAATAACCAAGGGTTTCAACACTTTCCTGGATAGGTGCGGGTAAGAAACTTGGAGAGAGCTTACCCAACATAGGTTGGGATTGTTGATGTACTTAATTGATGAGTGTAATGAGAAATTGCCACAACAGTAGCCTAGGGATTAGATGGTGCCAATTAAAGGAAGGAAAGTAAATGGCTTTTTCAGATGAATATTTTAAAAAGAGATTTGGTAAGCATAACGGAGTGCTAACAGTTTGTGGGAACTAGAAAGAGATTGTTGGACAGATTCTGTAGGTAGCAGACTACACACTCTGCAAACCAAGAGGCTTCAGACCTAAGGATATAAAAAGTCTCGGTGGTGGGATGCAAGTGTTGAAGAGAAGGTTATAGTTATCGCAAGGAATTTGTTTAAAAATGATGAGAACAAAGTAAAGCATGATTTAGCTACAAAGGATACTAAGATGTTGGTTAGGAAACTGAAACTTGAAGCTTGTGGAAGGAAATTCCGCAATAAGGGACTCAATATTTTACACAATACAGTGAATGACCAATATTATACTTATTGTAAAATTTACAAGTTGGAGGCGAAAGAAGCATCAAAGAGGATGGACAATGGTAAAGCAGTCAGACCAAATAAAATATCTATTGAAATTTGGAAATGTCTAGATGAGAATGGTATAACTTGCCTTGTAGAGTTGTTTAGCAAGATGTAGTGTTTAAGGAAATGAGAAATTGACAACCAAGGAGAAACATTTACAGTTCTATTTATGACTAGCCTATTTCTTAGCCAGATATATCTATCTTCTTGAAGAGGTTTGGTAAAGATGTCAGCTCATTGTTCCTCAGTTTTAATATACACTAGACCGAAGGTTCCTTTTTGCACATGATCTCTAATGAAATGATGTTTGATCTCAATATGTTTAGTCCTAGAATGCAAAACAAGATTTTTTGAAATACTAATTGCAGTAGTGTTATCACAAAGTACAGGAATACTACTTTCATAAATGTTGTAGTCTTCCAGCTGATGTTTGATCCAAAGCAGCTGCTTAAGACACTGTCCTGCGGTGACATACTCAGCTTTGCAAGTTGATAAGGAAATTGTGCTTTCCTTTTGCTAGTCCATGAAACTAAGCAGCGACCAAGAAAATGACATCCTCCACTAGTGCTTTTTCTCTCCCATTTGTCTCTTGCGTAATCTGCATCACAATATCCTAATAGAGAAAAATTATGGCTTTTTTTGAAGTTTATTTTTTTGTTTGTTGTTTTTTTTTACGCCTAAACGCCAACCTACCTCAACCAGCCCTTCTTACTAAATTCCTTTTATAATCCTTTCTTTAAAGCTTTTGATTTAAATAAAGACATCCTTTCTTTTCAATTTCTACTTGACCCTGCTAAAATGACGTGTTCTATTAATGATTAAATGAAAGTCAAACAAGTTCGAATGAAGAAAAAAAGAAATAAATAAGAAAACAATCCCTTGTGAGCCCCTAACAGAATGCACTATAGTATAGTGCTCGGAAAAAAAATCGCTCCACATGGAAGATGAAGGAGAAATGAAAAGTCACCTTCTAGAGATGACAGATAATGAAATGTATAAGTGCACACTGCATATGCATGACACGCATATCATACAAGACTTTTTTAATATATCTAGGGTGAATTAGCTAAAGAATCAACGAACAAAATTTAAATTTCCCAGCAAAGCATGCATTTATTATCTGTATAATAAACAAAGAAAAGATAGAAAAGTCAGAAAATGGCAAATAGAGGAAAAAGGCAAAGCTTCTACACAGAAAAAGTTGAAGCTAAAAAAAAGAAGATACTCACCACAAATATCCAATACGCACATCAACCCCATCAATACAAGCAAGTCAAATAAAGCAAAAATCTAAGGAGCCAAACATATGTAATCATTGTACTAAACCCTAAACCTTAAACCCCATCAACCTTCCAGAGGTATATTAGATGATGTTGTGCAATTGCTATGTTTAAACCACAAACATGTGTAATCATTGTACTAGTTAATATTGATAACTAGTTGTGGAATGTGAGTATGCTATAGATATGATTATGAGATATGTATGAGTTATAGCAATGTAATTCCTTATGCAATTGACTACTAACATTTAATTGATATAGTTGAATTGTTGATTTCCATATTGAGATCACTTGATAGTGAAATGATGTGATAATATGATATGATAAGACTTGTGATATGTGAATTAGTGAGATCATGTGAGTTGCTATGCATAAAGTGCATTTTAAGAGTATGATATAGAATATACCTTCAGGGAAGGCCCCCTTGTTAGAAAAGAATGGCTCAATCCAAGAGGGGGGGTGAATTGGATTCTATGACACTTTAAAAATTTTCAGAGTATTTAGGATCTTTATTTCAATTAAACTTTTCTAAAAATGAATTTTCAATGAAGTTTCTTAAAGACTTGTTATTGAAGAATGAAACCTATATGATTTCTTGATTAACCAATAGAACAATATGTAATACTCTGTTCAAATCAATATTACTCATGAAAACATGTTAATCAAGAACAATCTTTTCAATACAAAATCAAGATATTACACAAAGTAAAAGATAAGGGTAAGAAAAGATTGCACAAGTCTTTTATCCTGGTTCAGCCACTCCACATGTGACCTACATCCAGTCCTCAATCATAACCTGATCGAGATTTGTTCCACTATCTTAATGAAGAAGGTTTACAAGCATACCACACATGCATATACTCCTACATTCAAGATAACTTCTTTCTTGACCTCAAGAAAGCACCCCTTGTAGAAACCCACTACAAGAATTCCTTACCACTTGAGAAACCTACTCAACATTTACAAGTATTCACAAAGAATTAAGGAAAAAATTCACCTGGAATTCAAAAGCAAATCTTAATCTCTTTCCTTTCAAGAATGTGATGATGATGATCTTTTCTCAAAGCTTTTCAAAAATGTTTTTACTTCTTGGTTTCACAAAGAAAACTCCCAAGAATGTCACAAAGACTTCACAAACACGTTTTTCTAATTTTGATTCTCAATTCTAACTCTATTTTGAAGTTTCCAAATGATCAAACTATTTATAAGTTTTTTAGAACCAGATAATCGATTATTTTAAAGAATAGTCGATTATTTTGTTCTTCAGGTTTTCTGGAAACCAACCAAGAATAATTTAATCGATTATTTTGCTGGATAATCGATTATTCCAGAGAGTCATTTCTGGGATAATCGATTATTTCACAAATAATCGATTATTGCAGCAAGGCATCCCTTTTTGCCTGTTGCTGGAATAATCGATTATATTTAATGATAATCGATTATTTTGAGTTAGTTTTCAAAACTTTGTTTTAAGTCTCAAAATAACTTCTTAACCTTTTAAACTCATCATCATACACTCCCTAATCAGATTAGATATAGATTTAGCCAAAGCACAAAGCACACACAAAAGATAAACTCAAACAAAGCAATTTTATAAACTATAAACTACTCCTATTACATAGCATTTTTCCTTTGACTTTGTTTTTGACTTCTAAGTTGTTGATGTCCTGGTCAGCTTTGTTCTACACATTTGTTATCATCAAAACTCTTAATCTTCAGAGGTGATCTCATCAATCTCAGGCTCCCCCAGTCTCAACAATCTCCCCCTTTTTGATGATGACAAACCAAGCTAAGTCAAGCCATTTTGTTCATTTTTCTTTTGCCTTTTCTTTCACATTCAAAACTTGCAAACACAACCAAAACAAAACCTTTATCCCCCTTTGGACATCATCAAAAACAAATCAAGCTATGTATGTCCACAACACACAGTATGAGCTTTATGCATACTCTTTATATGCTCAGAACAATACCAAAAAATGATCAAAACAGAGGTATTGGTCATTCACAAAACTTTGTGAACTTGAATCATACTATCCAATCCATAAGCATCAAATCAGCAACAAAAACATCAATTGATCAGCCAAAATCACAAGATACAATTCAGAGTCCAAAACCGTGATCAAATACGCCAACCAAATTTCAAAGAATCCATATAGCAATGTTCAAAAACAGAACAACATCAATGCTCAAAATCAGAGCATCATACCATCAATCAGCCAAATCAAAATCATTCAACCACAATATCAGAAATTAAACTCCAAATTTCACCTGAAATTAAATTCCAAATTTCACCTGAAATTAAATTCCAAATTTCACCTGAAATTAAATTGTTCAACAACATAAAGCAATAAAATTGTTCCGAAATTAAAATGATTACAACCAAATTGAAATTGAAAATTAAAAACAACAAAAATTTAAACTTCCTAATTAAAAACATAACAGAGCACTAATCAATCTGAGTCTCCAGGCATCCCAAGGTGAGTCTTGAGTCGATTAATTTCATGATCAAGGGTATCAAACCTATCCAGAATACCTGAATATATTGACTCATGCCTTCTAGACATCTCCATCACAGCATCAAGCTTACTAATCATAATTTGCTCGAATGGAGAGAATGGCTTAGGCTCCGCTTCTTGCTCTCGGTCAGGCTCAGCTTCGACCTGTGGTGGCTGGTCCTCATCATGAGATGGAACACCATCTTCGTCTGTTGCCGGTTCAGGGGTTGGAGGTACATCTCCCTTGAATACCCACTTATCTTCCCGTTTGAGCATCCCCATGTGATGCAAGGAAGATTTCTCAATTTTGTTAGAAGCATGGAAATTTTACTCCCCTGTCAATTCTACCCCTGCATTCTCAAAAATTTTAGACAGCAACAATGCATAAGGAATTGGACCATCATTTTTCCTTCTGGCCTTCCACATACAGTTATTCACCACTGATACCCAATCAATCTTGATTTTCTTTTTAATCACATGCATGAGAAAAATGTCATCCCTTGACATTTGAGCATGGTTATGCAAACGCAGTTTAAGCATCCAAGCAATAATAAACGAAATCAAACGGGAATTTTTCTTCATACCTCCCGCCAAGAACTTGTTGTAGTTGGTGCTCTCAGGATTTCTCTGACAATCTCTGAAGGTCGTCAGCTCCTCAAAATCACCAAAGTTGAAGGGTTGGGGTTTTTCACTTCCATTGCCGCTCAGCCCGGCATCTGCCTTCAAGGTTGGTCCGTCAAGCTTTATCAGCTTGCCCTTCACAACTGATTGCATAATTCCTTCATTGCTTGTTGCAAAGCAAAGAAATAGCCTGATCAACTCAGGGTAGTAGGGTCCTTCCATTTCCAAAAACTTTCCAAGTTCTTGGTGCTCCAGCAGAGTTGGAAAGTTAAACCCTCATTTTTGAACCACTCCAACTTCAAGGTTTTGGGAGGGATGATTCTCCGACCCGCATACCACTCGAAGTAATACTCCTGGGTTTTCTCATTCGCGAACCACTTGGAGATTAGTTGCCCTGAGGGCAGAGGACGCTTGCTCCCCCTCACTTCCAGCTTCTTGTGTCTTTTGGAGGAAGAAGCCATGAATGGGTTTTGGTGGAGAAGA